GCTAGGGAAAGAAGAGTAGCAAGAAAGACCTTGACAACCACGTATGAACTTGCAATACCACAGTGATTAACCAGTGCAGCGGAGAGTCCAACAACAGACCCCAGGCTCTAAGGATATTTAGCAGACAGTGAAGGGGTCATTTCATATCAGTGGGGAAAGACTCAATGAACCTATCCATTCAAAAATAAAAAAGGTTCTTTTCAGGCTCATTACAACACCCATTCAACAAGATTATTTGAAGCCACACAGATTCACTAACGGAGGGTAGTTAAGTCCAGTTTGTTCCTTCCATTCAAAGGAATTTTGTGCAATCTAGAGAAAAGAGGAGAAAGATCTATATTGAATGCCCTGTAAAGAGGTCCACCCACATTATTAAGTGGAAAGAGCAGGATATAGAGCTTTAAGGATAGCATCATTCCATTTTTACAAATACATATTGGGAATGGAAAAAATTGATCACAACTATATTCTAAATGTCAATAATGATTATCTCTGAATGGTGAACTTGTGGGTAATTTGAATGTTTGTACTTTCTAATTTTTCAATAAGTGTGCATTATTACTGCATTATGGAAAAAGCTGTGTAAAGGTATAAACTGAGTAAATGGAGTGTCTTCCTCCTTCCAGCAATGCAGAGGGCGAGGCTGGTTCAGGCTTACGTCCGAGAGGGCAAAGGGCTTCATTCAGTCCGTCAGGGAGACCCTTCCAAATGAGCCAGGTCTCTTTCTCAACTAACTTCATTTCATGTATTTGTTGGTGGTGGTCCAACATCCTACCTCATCTCTATGATTTTTCTAAACAGAGCCTATTCCCTCAGATTTGAGTTTTAAAAGTTGCTCCCTTTTTGTTGGTTTATTTGTCAAAATTGGCCTCCAGTAACTCTCTCAACCTCTACCAGTTGCTCTGGAACAAACTCAGTGTTAAAGGGACAAAACTTCTTAATTCATATTTTCATTTTATTTGAATAGTTTCTTTCTATAACACTAATCTTCCTGGTCTTCCTCTTTTTTTTTTTTTTGGCTCTTTTCCTGCCCATCTGTCCATCCCACCTTAGAGATACCCTTCCCCCTTGAAATGATTTGTTACTTTTGAGAGGCAGTAGCTCAAGTCATAGCCTGCCTAGGTTCAAATCTCAGCTCTGACATTCAATAGCTGTGTGCCACTGGGGAAGTTACTTAACCTCTCTGAGGTTCAGTGTCTTAATCCGTAATTTGTAAATCTGTATCTACCTCACTGGTTGTTAAAAGGATTGAATGAGTTAATAGATGTCAGTCACTTAGAACAGAGGCCTGGCACGTGGGAATCACGATACAAGTACCAGCTATTATCGTTTTTATTTTACTCTCCTTCCTAAGCCAGTCCCTGGTCCGACTTCATCATATTCACTTTCCACTTGCAGTAACCACCATACCTCTTGGAAGCAGTGAGCGGAACCATGACATTCATCGAGGCCAGAGGAAGGGATCTCACTTGAGGGGCTGTCTCCCTGTGAGCACCCTCCACAGGGCGCCCTGCACATCAGGGTTCCGGAGGCTGTAGATGACTGGGTTCAGCACGGGGCTGATGACAGTGTTGAGGATGCCAATCCCCTTGTCCTTGTCCGAAGCCTCTATGAGCCCAGCCTTATGTAGCTGAAGACACCTGTGCCATAGAAGATGCCCACCACGGTGAGGTGGGAGCCACACGTGGAGAAGGCTTTCTTCCTGTCCTCTGCAGAGCGGATCTGCAGGACTGCAGCTGCCACATGTGCATAGGACACAGCGATGAGGACCAAGGGGGCCACACCCATGAAGGCTGCTGCTACAAAGAGCAACTGCTCATTGACTTGGGTGCTGGAGCAGGAGAGCTGGAAGAGCTGTGGGAGGTCACAGTAGAAGTGGTTGATCACACTGGGACCACAAAATTTAACAGTAGATAAGGCAACAGTTTGTGTCAGTGCATTGGTGAAGGAAAAGGCACAGGACATGTCCGCCAGGGCTTGCTGGGTTCCCCAGCTCATACAGGCGCTGTAGGTGAGCAGCTGACAGATGGCCAGATAGCGGTCATAGGCCGTGACGGTCAGCAGGAAGCAGTCCACCCCAGCCAGGAGATGGAAGAAGAAGAGTTGTGAGAGGCAGGATTTATAGGGGATGCTTCTGTGACTGGGCATGAAATGCCTCAGCATGGCAGGGACAGTGACACTGATGCAGCCGACATCCAGCAGGGACAAATTCCCCAGGAAGAAGTACATGGGGGTGTAGAGTTTGGGTTCAGTGAAGATGGCAGCCAGGATGCTGAAATTGCCACCCACAGTAGCTATGTAAGCAAACAGGAAGATGATGAAGAGGATGTGCTTCAGAGCTGGAGTCTCCGTCAGGCCCAGCAGGACAAACTGGGTGACAACCGAATCATTTCCCGAG